ATCTATCTATCTATCTATCTATCTATCTATCTATCTATCTATCTATCTATCTATCTATCTATCTATCATTGATCTATCTATCCATCCATTTTCTCTTTCTCTTTATTATTTTTTATTTCTTTTCACTTTTCTTTTCATTACTGTTTATATTTTCTTTAGTTTGTATCAATTTTTTGTCTTTGTATTTGTAAACTGTAATAAAATTATTGTTGAAAAAAGGAACTAGTATAAAATTGGTAATAGATAGAGCGGTGAAGGTGGTGGTGATATTGATGATAACAATGACATTGCTAGAGCATACCTACCTGTAACATTCAGCCTATCAGAACGCTGGCACCACACTGTGCGTTCATTATCTTGCCAAAGACTTGTTTTCCATACATAATTATAGCATTTTCCTCCTATAATTCAAATAAGGCAACAGTTTATATATATTTCTGTTCAATAACACTAAACATTATTAAGTAAATTCAAAGGAAAACTATTAAACAAGAAATAGACAGATTTTAGAGTTTGCTGTTCTGGTGATTTAACTTTCTGTAATTGTCTGTCTAGCCTATCCCATTTTTTTTGTCCTTTCTAAGGACTGTAAATAGTTTCCCAGTCTCTTCTTGCCTTTTCAAACATTTTCTTAATAAATTTCTTTTGATGGGGAAAAAAAGGCAGGGTTTGTTGACAATAAACTACGAGAAAACAGTTTAGAAGCAAACTCTTCTGTGAGGTAATAAGAACTGGTTTACAGTATTCTGTACCTGAGCAAGGCCTGGTCTCCAATTCTTGTTCAGGGCAGCTGTCTTGATTTTCGAAAGATTGAATTATAAATGTTCTTGATCGAGACTGACGACCCATGCTCTCAAAGCTCCTGCCATTGATGCATGTTAATTCACAAGAGCTCCACTCAGACCATTCGGATAAATGACAGTCACCTTATAGTAAAAAAGGAAGAGAGGAAGGATAGACTTTAGTAATGAACGTCTCTATACACTCTTCAGTTATAGCATCAGAAGGAATCTACAGGTTATCCAACCCAAGGAACAATCTTGTACGTTTTGGGATCCTTTTGGCAACAGGCTATGCTGCAGAATGTTGGTGAGAAAAGAGCTCAAAAATGGTGATACTGTATGGTTTCCTGTATTTCAAATGTGGGAATTTCTCTCTCTTTCTCCCACTGTGCCAGTCTCTGTCTCTCTGTCCCTCACATGTAAGTCTAGAATTAAGTTAAAAGCACAAAGAAATCTACAATTCTTGACCACCACCCACACTGCAAAATACTGGCCCAACCATGTGCCCACTATAGACATGCCCACATTGTGATTTCTCCTTCACTACAATCTGAATTGTCCCCAGAAGTGGTTTACTTTTTATTTATTATTAAAGTTATATGCCTACTCATCTACTTGACCCAATGCAATACCTGCTCTTGAGATATCCAGTATAGAATGTGGACAGGCCTCCTAGCAACAGCCAAGCTTACTAATTGTAAGGGATGCTGGGAGTTGTAGTTCAGTATAATTTGAAGGGCTGTTCTACTTCTGGACTCCGGCCTTCCTAAAAATGCCCTTCTAGAAAGTGTTTTGAAAACACTGACTTTAATTTTAAAGCAGCAATAGGACTTTTTTTGATTTGAGGGCTACCTTTTAAATTATTTTTTGTGGCAGCTGAAGGATACAATGAGGTGATATATGGGAATGTAATATATGGATTTATGGAGTGGGAGAGAACTGCCTTTTATAGTAGCTATGCTAAAACCTATTATATAACCTTCGTTAACTTGCTTTACAATTATGTTAAATTAAAATAGTTTCAAAGGTTTTGCTTTTGTAAAAGGTAATAATAAAGTGCATTCCTTCCTGACAAATCCTGGCAATACAATTTCACAAGACTTATGGGGGATTTTAAAAAAGAAGTGGAGACTGCATGTGATCCCTGCTATTGAACTGTAGGAATGGTTAAATCAAGCATGTAAAGTATGTTAAAAAATTTTCACCACCTGAATGTCCATGATCTAATATAATACCAGCATATAATACTGTACTTTTCAAAAATCAAGTTCTTAAAAAACTCTTTTGCATGGTTTGTGCTAATCAGCATAAGCACAAAAATATTAAAGACAACTTTGGAAATTTTGTTTCTCTGGATAAGACTGAACTCTAGACTAACCCTAGACTGTTTTTCTTGCAAACAACAGTTTCTTCACTTGGATGTTTCTCAGATACACACATATAAAGGGGGGTGGGAGGGAAGGAGTATAGAACTTCAGTTAAGGCAAAAAGGTGCTTAAACCAGATGTGTCTTTCCCCAGAATGTATTATTGGGTTGCCAAAGATGCAACTGTAGATGGTGCATCAGCACTGTAGATGGTACAAAGCAGGGGTGGGATTCTACCAGTTCGCACCTATTCGCCAGAACCGGTTGTTAACATTCTTAGCAGTTCGGAGAACCGGTTGTTAGAAGAAATGACTGGCCTAATCCTGTAAGGAAGGCAGGAAGGAAACATTCTGGTGTTGCTTACAGAAACTGCTTCTCCGTTAACCTTTATTACATTCTTGGCAGGACTAGACTTCCTGTCTCTGGAACTTCTCTAGAGTTTTTTTGCCCTCCTTTGCTGGTACTTTGCTTGTGTGAAGTGACCATTCAAAGTTACAATGGCACTGAAAAAAGTGACTTATGGCCATTTTTCACACTTACGACTGTTGCAGCATCCCCACAGTCATGAAAGGCCAGGCGAGGAGATGCATGCCTCGATGTGAGTGATATTGAGTTGGCCACGCCCAACCAATAACACGACCACCAAGCCATGTCCACCCAGTCACATGACCACCATGCCACGCCCACCAACTAAGCCATGCCCATAGAACCAGTTGTTAAAAAATTTGAATCCCATCCTTGGTCCAAAGCCCTTTCTTACCATTGAATCTGAAGAGGATTGCAGTACCTTGCTCTCTGATATAACGTGCATGGCAAAAGTTAAAAAAGAGATGGGAAATGTTGACCTCTGGACCATAGTCCATCAGCAAGAACATTCTGTTTATTTTTACTCTCAAATCTAGTAATTATTTTAACCCTCTATCTGGGTTTATATTACCTATATTAAACCAGTACAGTTCAGAGAGATCTTATAATAGGCTATAGGTAAGTTTAAGATAAAAGATTAATTCTGCAAAAACGAAAGGGACTGTTCTCTCATGAAAGGCTGAAGTCCAAGTGAATGGGGACATTGCAACTTATGGTGACCAGAAGATGATCCTGGTCATGGGTGGATCCTGAGCCCAAGGTCAGAAAAGCCAAAACCAATCTGGGTGACATTTTGAAATCAGAAGGCTACTTGGGGCTCACAAACTCATCATGCCAGACTTAAAAGTTAGTATCAGGAGACAAATGTAAGTAGTCCTTTGTGTGATTGAGTTCTAATGAGACATCGTTAAGATTAGACAGCAATTCATCAAAAGCTAGTATGTATAGCATAAACTGCAGGTCTATGTCAAACCACCTATTTTCTTGGAACATCCTGTGCAATTGGCCATAGCTATTTATCACCAAAATGATGAAATAAGGTCCTTCTCCGAGTTTACCTGGACAAGGGATAGAACACGGAAGTCGAAGCAAATTCTCTTTCGGGGGAAGCTCTTCACACAGGGTACTCTCCACTTGCTTAAATGTTGATGATGACAGGCCATCAAGCACCACACACTGCAGATTTCGTACTTGGATTCCATCTCCGCATTGCCCACCCTAACGGGGGGGAGGAGAAATTGATCAAAACAACTTGATGTATAAATAATTACACTTTACGTAATGTATATATTTTAATCCTAGAAACAATGCAAAGTGTTTGCAAATCAGGCAATGCTTCTTGCAATGTGCAAGAATGGTAAAAAAAAAAATTAAAAGTGTTCTTTACTACTTCCATTTTTTGGGTTCCGCCTTTGCAGTTAATAAATCTTCTGCAATGTTGTTAAAGGACCATTCTCTAACAAATAGTTCTTCTTTTGGTGGAGGCAAGGAAAAGGATAGATGTCCTCTTATTACTCCTATTAACAGGGGTCTCCAAATTTGGCAACTTTACGACTTGTGGACTTCAGCTCCCAGAATCCCCCAGTAAGAAGTCCATAAGACTTAAGTTGCCAAATTTGGAGATGAATGCTCTTCAACAAAACATAATAATACGCTTTTGAAGATAATATGGATTCAGAAGGGCTAAAGCCTCACTAGGTATATTGGTAGAGCCTTATTGCTCTACAAATGCAGAAGAAAAGATGTTTTGGGTTTGTTTCTCAAAACAACATGTCCCTTTCTAACATGTTAAATCTTCCTCACTTTTGCACGTCTTTTGGGGTATGACCCAATTAGTCTGATGTGATTAATGCTAAGCAGATATCATCTTCTCCAAACTCTAAAATAATTGAGTGTGGAAATCTAAATCACTTTAAAAATCAATGCTAGATACTCGGTCAAAGTGTTTTGAATGAAGAATAATTTAAAGAGGGAAGGATAGAATGATGCATAAGGCAAACAGATGCATGCCCAATGCAGTGTGAAAAAAGGGACGGCATACGTGCCATCCAAGCTGAGAAAGCAAAAGGACAGCAGTTTGATGCTTCACAATTCACATCAGCGTTTACATTTTCAGACTATCAGAAAAAAAAGTAATAATTTCAAGGAAAAAAGTCGAAATCAGCACTTCAGGCTACTGAAGCTTTAAACCATACTGTTTCACGGCCTTTCAAAGTATTGAAAGAGGCTACATGGTATTCTTAGTGCAAAAGTCAATTTCCTTGGTAGCAGGGTTCTCTGAAATTAAATCATGCTTTGATCTAGGCATGCGGATGCAAAACCTATCTATGACACTCACTGGGATGCTATTGCAATTGTACAGCTCTTTGACCTTTGATATTAAATTAATTTTTAGTTACCTACCTCAGTTGTATTTATGATGACTTTTTCCTACTTTGGTAGAATTTTCAGTAATATTAAATTAACGTTCCCCTCTTAACTTTCAAAACAAGGATCAAACTGCCTCATAAAATTAGGTTGCAGTCAAGTTCATTTTCTACCTGTTGTGGCAAGGCGATGTTTTACAAACTTCAAATACCTCAACTCTGCACAGGGACCATTCTCCAAGAACCCAGCTATAGCAGGGTTTTACAACACAACTGCGGAACTGAATAAGATCAGCTGGGCAAGGTCTTCCTTCTCCTTGGGCTTCCATAATTATAGATCGGGTACGGAGCATCTGACCTAAAGAAGGAAAGAAGATAATTGAACACCTTGTATTTTAATATTTTCTGAATCTTTCTGGGCACATTTAAATACTGATAAGTCATTGGGAAAAGAGATTATGATATGTGCCCAGTCTTATCTCTCTAATTCATTTAAATGAAAACTAATAAGGCTAAAATAACCGAAGGCTTGAATTTGGCTTTATAAGAGCAAGCTATTTGGACTAATGCAATCAAGGCCAGAATTGAAAAATCATCCAGTGATTCAAAGTGCAGATTGTGCAAAGAAGCAGGGAAAAAAACAACAACAGATCATATATTCAGCTTGTGCAAGATTGCACAAACTGATAATAAACAATGTCGTAACACAATCACCAAAATGATTCACTGGAACATTTATAAAAACGATCATGTGTCAATAAAGAAAATATGGTAGGAACATAGAAATAAAAATGTAGTAAAAAACGAGCAGTCAAAAGTAGTCAAAAATATTGTGGGGTTTCTGAATACAGACTGATAAATGTTTTGGCTCATAACACACCACATATAATTGTTAAAAAGAAGAAAATGTGGATAATGGATGAGGAAATACCAGGGGACAGTAGAATAGAAGACAAAGAATTGGAGATCACAAAGTATTGAGATCTGAAAGTCAAATTGAAAGATTATGGAATAAACAACTGTGGTGGCTTCAGTGGTTATTGACACACAGGGTGCCATACCAAAAAACTACAGACAGGACTTAGACAAATTAACACATTGACAACATTTGCACCTGTAAATTGCAAAAAGTCCATCATTAAATTTAAAAAATATATACATTCTGAGTCCTTTAAACACAATCTCCCCACAAAACAGAAATATTTAAAAACCAGCCCATCATTTTAGTAACATTTCAGTGTCACCTATCGTAACTTTTACAGCTACAACACAAGGGCTAAAGATGTGATACAGCTTCAGGTTGAAAAAAGTTTCTTAGTTTTGTAGTTAAGTGATATCCTATCGGTTAAATATCCTTTACTCACACTATCATTTTTATCCTATTAAAAGTTGCCTTTTGAATGCATCCTTTTGAATGTGTATTTTTAAATTTTAATTTTAACATTGCAAGATAACTGGATGCAAATAGGGCTGAGGACAATAAAGGGAAGAAAATACACCAGTGGGGTTTTCTTCTATAATGGATGAATTGTCAACTTTGCCTGCTCATCTGCAAGAGCTGGTTAAACTAATATTGGGCTTGGAACAGATAAGCCAAAGAACACAATTATACCTGTCTACATAGAGACAACAAAGTTGCATTCTGATTCCAAAGTAGACAAAGCACATTGTTGCCAAGTACCATTTTTGATAAGATGTGCAAAAAAAGACCTGTTGATTTGAATAATATAGAAGAGATGTTAGCAGACATAGCCCTCCAAACCCCTGACAAGAGACCAGTTTCAATACCTTATTGCAGTGGTTGCCAACTGGAGGACTGGGGACTACTGGTGGCCCATGAGAAAATTTTGGTGGTCCACAGAGAAATGTCCCCCCCCCCAAATAATTAATCCACGCTGCATGGGAACACAAGGTCCCCTCCACTGGCCCCCACCCTTTGGCTGAGTGCAAACCTTACTTTAAGTAGAGCCACGCAAGCTGGAACTGGAAGGTAAGACCAATGGCAGGGGAGGGAAATCTACCATGGGGTGGCTTGCTGAAGTCAGTCCCATATTCCAGAGTTGCAGTAGTCACAAGACTGGTCATCCCGGAGCAGCTCCTCTAGTCCATGGTAGGGCGGTGCACCTGGGTGGGGGAGCAGCTACTCTGAGATGACCAAAGGGCCAGTCCTGTAACTACTGCAGCTCTGGAAGATGGGACTGACTTTCCCACCAATGTCAGCAAGCCACTGTCAGTCAACATTCATATTAATGGTCCGCGGGATTTAAAAGGATGAGTGTGGTGGTCCCTGAGGTCCAAAAGGTTGGCCTCAGCGAGCTGTTTAAAAAAATAATGATGGAATTCAGTTTTCCATGCTTTCAGTATCTATGTATCTACTAAGCATTGGAAGCAATAGATATAGAGATAGTTGGTACAAGCATTTCTCCCTCTCCCTCTCCCACACCCTCTCTTTTGTCTAACTTTGCAAGTCTCTACTGACCTGCCTTATAATGGCTATATTCCTTCTCCTTTGGCTTCTGACCTGTTCTGCTCTGCTTAGCTTCTCTCCTGACTTACCCTCCCTCCAATGACGGAGGGAAACCACATTCAGATTCTAAGCTGTAGACATGCTAATAACTCTAGCTTTCCGAACACTTCGTTATTGGCTAAATGGAGTTTGTTTTCTTTCACATCAGCACTAGCCTCAAGAATTCCTTCTACCAAATTAATTCTCCTGACTTTATACCTATTTGTTCTGTTGTACAAAACCACTCACTGTATAAATCCACTTGATGAGTAACACAACTTTCATCAGCCTTGCACACACAGCTGTGGGCACTGGGAAAGGCTGATTATGAATGTTTCTGCCCACGCTCCCTCTTCACGTGATCTCAAACGAATATCACCAGAATTAGTGTGGTATAATGTTAATGGATCAGGCTAGAAGCTGCTAGATCTTGAGTCCTCATTCCACTTTAGGCATAAAGCCAGCTGGATGCCCTTAGACCAGTCAGTCTTTCTCAGCTGCAGGAAACAGGCAATGGCAAACCACTTCTGAGAATCTTATCAAGAAACAGTAGGGACTATTTCAGACGGACGTTTACAACATGCACAGAAGAATGACAACTCAGTGCTCAAGGATTTGGTGCAATAACAGAGATGCCTTTGCATGAGAGATTTTCCAGATCTGGCAATCGTTCCTGGTTCTACAGCATCAATTGTATAGCATCCATTTACAACTTGTAAGCCTCCCAGCGTCACCTTGTAGGGGTGATGGGTGGTATAAAAATTAAATAAATAGATAATTACCTAACACACTCATTAACTTTCAACTTGTGATGATTGTATCAAATGTGTCTGCTATGTACAGCAGGTATGTATATGTACCAGAGTTTTCCCAAAAATAAGACTGGGTCTTATTTTCTTTTGGGTCCAAAATAAGCATTAGGGATTATTATTTTTTTGGGGGGGTGTCTTATTTTCCCTCCATGTATTGAGGACCACTTCTTCTGCTTGCTTGCGGTGCACCAGAACTGCTGCTGTGAGGCAAGAGAGGATGGAACTGCCCCAAACTGGCTTACCTGAGGGCCTCTGCAGCCAGGCCACCCATGTCCTGACACCTGTCTCACCTTGCAGCCATGGCACCAGCAGCCCTGTCCAGCAGGACCCCGCATGGCTGACACCCCACAATTGTTTGCTTTCAGCCACATTGGAGCAGAAGGCCAAGCAACGCACTGGTGCCATGACCATGAGGTAAGGTGGGTGGAGCTGCCCCACACACCCTTCACCGGCTTACTTCAGGGCCTCCACAGCCATCACAGCCACATCCATGCCCTGACCCTTGGCTTGCCTCACGGCTATGGCCATGAGCAAGCAGAAGTGGGCTGGTGGCCACGTGGGCTCCTGCTGCACATGGTTAATAGTGCTGCTGCCACAAGGCAGGTGTCGGAATGGATGGCTTGGCTGTGGGGTCTTGAGGTAAGCCAGTGCAGGATGCATGGGGTAGCTCCACTACCACCCCACTTTGCGACCATGGCATCACAAGCAACCAGACATAATGGGCCAGCTGGGGGATAGGGGATAGGGCTTATATTAGGCACACCATAATTTGGGGGATAGGGCTTATATTAGGCACACCATAATTTGGGGGATAGGGCTTATATTAGGCACATCATAAAAAGCATGTTATGGCTTATTTTCTGGATAGGTCTTATTTTCAGGGAAAGAGGGTGTATGTGTGTGTGTGTGTGTGTATGTATGTATATACACACATATATGAAGCTCTCCCCACTGCTTCATCTAACAAGAGCCACTGTTAGTTGTTCAACTTGAGAAACAAAGCAAGTTTTCCTATTGAACACCATCTTAAGCTATCTCACTATCTCACTAAGGAACCTTTCAGGAACAAGCTGGCTTCATCATAATTGGAATAGTATTAGATGAAACATTTCTTCCTATGTCACGGCAGTAGATGATGTTGATGATTCTTTTTAATTGACTCTGCTGATACTTTAACAAACGGTGCTTAATAGTGTTATTCCAAAAATGGTAACCTAATTTCTGCTCCTATTCACTGAGTTCAGGATATTTTGCTGAAAATTAATAGGTTCTTAATGGAAATACTAAAAGCAGTTTTGGACAGTAATAGACATTACCTGGCTTGTAATTTTTCAGCTTAATTTGGTCAAACAATCTTCACATATCATATGGTTAGAACCAGAAAAACAATCTAAACACATGACCATTGTTGTTAGAAAACAGCACTATCGTAATTACAATATTCTGGAATATGCAACAGTACATTATTATTTGAGTTTTTTTAAATTAAGTCTATGAATTAAAAACCAGGATATATCACGTATCATAATGCCCAAACTGAATCTCCTTCCAGGCATCCAGAGAAAGTCTGCTGAGGGTCACTAGTCCTCATGATGATCCTGGGGTGTAACAGAGTCCTGCTTTGTGGCAAACACTACTTTGAAGAATTTGCTTTTCCAGAGGGATGAGAAGCACTTGTCTTGCTAACCAACAAGTTAATGAACTGTATATGTCCCCTAACTCAATGACTCCAGCATGCTGACTAGAAAAGTCTGGGACTTGAAATCCCCACATCTTAACATTGTCAAGGGTAAGATACATTGCTTAATTTGAGTGAGGGAATCTATCTTTGGTGTTATGCTTTTATTTTTAGTTTGCATTTTTGATACTGTTCAGAGTTCTCAGGACTGGGACAAATTATGCACAGATGGAAATAAACAAACAAGCAAGCAAGCAAGCAAACACACAGGAATCTTGAGGAAAAATAAATACATGCTTAATTATCAAAATATCAGCATTGGTATTTCTCAACCTCCTATACAAAACCATGCAATATCTTTA